GATCCCGGAGCTTGCTGAGGATACGCAAACTACAGCCACAGATATACAGAGAATAATTACTTCCATGTCCACGGGGATTTGTGTCAGGAGCCTCAAGGGGCCCTTTTTTTTTTTTGCAGCCTAGTGACTTTGCATCATTCAACGCACTTCCTCTGATCCCAGGTCATCCTGGACCTGCACCCCTGCAGTGCAAATTTCCTGCCACTAGATGTCCTCAGACATTGTGTCCTTTGCCAACATGCAACATGCCAACATTGTGTCCTTTGCCAACATGCAACATGCCAACATTGTGTCCTTTGCCAACATGCAACATGCCAACATTGTGTCCTTTGCCAACATGCTTTGGGCTCAAGGGTGTCCCCCTTTCCGATCCCAGAAAGTTAGGAGGTATGGTCATTTCCAGATGGTGACAACAGTGGACCATGTCTGTGTCATGTGTGTTGAAATAGCCACTTGTAGTCTCCAACAGAAGCCCGTGTGACAAGGTGACAACACAGAAGCACAATTGAGACACCTGGACAGAGTGTTGTCACCCTAAAACAGGAAGTGCCGGAACTTGGACCATCGTGGCGGGATCACCAGGGACTATTTTAATACAGATTGAAAATTACTTTAGAAACATCATCAACACGTTCAGCGTTATAAGAGATTTTGTTGCTTGAGTTTCCATCGACTTTAGTGGTCACCAAGAGGGAAGTGGTCTAGTGGAGGCGTCTTTAGGAGCGGCTCTCAGCTCTATTGCTGCTATGTATAAAAGTTCAGGCTCAATTCCTGTCCTGGTGACAACTCGACATTTTGGATCGTCCCTCACTTTCCATTCCAGTGACAATGGTCAATAGGACAGATAGGGGGAATCTCCCCAAAGGGAACACAGGCATCACCATTAATCACCATTAGATACACTTTAACCCAGGGATAGGCAACCTCGGCACTCCAGCTGTTGTGGAACTACAAGTCCCATGAGGCATTGCAAGACTAACAGCCACAGGCAGGCCTCCCAGAGACAGATGCATGATGGGATTTGTTGTTTCAGCACAGCTGGAGTGCCGAGGTTGCCTACTCCTGAATATGACACCCTGGACTTGAAGTGCTTTTCGGGGGACTCTGCTCTTCTTGGGGGGGCGGGACCATGGCAAACAATGTCAGGATGGAGAGCAGGAGCAGACCAATGAACGTCCGTTCCCCAATCTGCTCTGTGCTGAATGAAGCCGGGAGCGATGAGCTCTCCGCGCTTCCTGCTTCAGAGCTGCCAGGGGAAGTGCAGGTTACACAGGGGATCACATTCCTGTACCTGATCATCTGTATTGGAGGGCAGGTGTAGCAGACTTACCTGCAGATTGACTCCTGCCCACACACGCATGCAATCCATTACTGAAAGTTCCTGGAAAACGCGATTTAGCATGTGAACGCCCGCGCATGGGAAGGTTTATGCACGTGCACGCTCATTAGCCTGCACACTATCATATATAACCAGACATGAAGCCATGACCAGGTTGCTGAGTGGTCTTCAGCTTGTCCCTGTGTGTCCTGTACATTATCCTGACATCCTGTGTATGAGCCCGACTTGTGACCAATTGACTCCGCCTCCTCCTCCTGATTCGGTACCTCTGCTCTCTGATCTCCTGGCTTACATTTCCTGACCCTGCTCCTGATCTGTGATTCGGCACCTCAAGATTCGGCTCCCTGTGTATGACATCGGCTTGAACCTGACTTCCCTCCCGGTCTGCCACTTGGTGGATCGCTTGGTGGAGCACCCTGGGCAACGACATCCTGCCAGTGCTCCGTCAGCCTCACACCCGTTGCCTGCTACGGTTTCAAGAGGTCCCGGTGTCATCCCGGTCCTGCCGGCTCACCAGCTGGTCCAACGCACTCAAGCGCCTCCTCAAGAACCGGCCAGACACCAGTATCGGCACCTGTGCTCCGCTCTGTCCTTACATCCCCTGTCACTACTTCCAGAGGTGTGGGACGAGAGGTGCACGGGCAGCCCCCTTCTCAGCTCAGTCTTGAGTCAGGTACGTGATAGTAGGAGAGACATCAGGGGTCTAATAGACCCCTGATGTCTCCATAAAGAGAAACTGTCACCACCAAATGCTATCACATAGGGGGTTGTTAGTCCCTGTGTGATAGCAATACAGTTTAGTGGAAGAAAAATGTAAAAAGTGTTAAAAAAGTACAAAAAATAATAAAGTAAATACAAAAAGAAGGGCAGATGTAGGGGGGCTAACTCTCAGCAGTGACGGATGTGGAGGGTCTCAGCAGGGGCAGATGCACATGATTTCAACTGTGGAGGGTCTCAGCAGGGCGGATATGGAGGGTATCAGCAGGGGCAGATGTGGAGGGTGTCAGCAGGGCGGATATGGAGGGTCTCAGCAGGGTGGATATGGAGGGTCTCAACAGTGGCGGATGTGGAGGGTCTCAGCAGGACGGATATGGAGGGTGTCAGCAGGGCGGATATGGAGAGTATCAGCAGGGGCAGATGAGGAGGGTGTCAGCAGGGGCAGATGTGGAGGGTCTCAGCAGGGGCAGATGCAGAGGATCTCAACAGTGGCGGATGTGGAGGGTCTCAGCAGGACGGATATGGAGGGTGTCAGCAGGGGTGGATGTGGAGGGTCTCAGCAGGGGTGGATGTGGAGGGTGTCAGCAGGGGCAGATGTGGAGGGTCTCCGCAGGGGCAGATGTGGAGGGTCTCTGCAGGGGCAGATGTGGAGGGTCTCCGCAGGGGCAGATGCAGAGGCTCTCAACAGTGGTGGATGTGGAGGGTCTCAGCAGGACGGATATGGAGGGTATCAGCAGGGGCAAATGTGGAGGGTCTCAGCAGGGGCAGATGCAGAGGATCTTAACAGTGGCAGATGTAGAGGGTCTCAGCAGGGGCAGATGCAGAGGATCTCAACAGTGGCGGATGTGGAGGGTCTCAGCAGGGCGGATATGGAGGGTCTCAGCAGTGCGCATATGGAGGGTATCAGCAAGGGCAGATGTGGAGGGTCTCAGCAGGGGCAGATGCATAGGATCTCAACAGTGGCGGATGTGGAGAGTCTCAGCAGGGCGGATATGGAGGGTTTCAGCAGGGGCAGATGTGGAGGGTCTCAGCAGGGGCAGATGTGGAGGGTCTCAGCAGGGCGGATATGGAGGGTCTCAGCAGGGGCAGAAGTAGAAAAAAAATGAAAACCAACTCCGCTTTTGGATGCAAATAAAAACATGCGCACGAAAGGCGTGCACGTGTACATAAACAACACTTCGGCCCGGGATGATGGGTATCACCGCCAACGTCTGAGTGAGAACAATAATTCCAGGGTCACCATTGGCCGGTAAATCTACAATAATGAGCAGTAAAGCCTTTTTAAAGCGTTGGCTATGGACAAGCTTGAGTACCAAAGTTTTTCACCGTTGCACGGGCGCGCACAATTTTGACACGTTTGGTATCTATTTAATCGACGTGACCCCAATTTTGTAATTTTTACCAAAACATTGGACATTATATTGTGTTTGTTTGCACTAATTATTATTATTTTTTTTAATCTTGATTTGATAAACATTTGCACAAATATCGTGCAACATTAAAAAAAATTCAGCTTGTTTTATACGAGGCCTCTGCTTTCAGAATTGTTTGGTTTCTATCCCAAAAAAATTTGATCTTGACATGTGTGTGCAACAATGTAAAAATTGCTCGGGTGCTGAGGTCCTACAAATAGCATTACAGCATGCTTGGAAGGAACCTGTATTGGACCGGTCGGTTAATTGTCAGGTGGAGGTGCCTCCTGTATCTGATGGCAGATACAATGAGACTGGAAGAGTTCCTGTTGGGCTCTCTGGCATCCTCGGCCATGGCGGTCCTTGGTATCGAAGGTCTCGCTGCTCTCTCGCAGGGGCAGATGTAGAGGGTCTCAGCAGGGGCAGAAGTAGAAAAAAATTAAGACCAACTGCGCTTTTGGATGCAAATAAAAACATGCGTACGACAGGCGTGCACGTGTACATAAACAACACTTCGGCCACGTTCTTCATTTGCATGCTAATCCTCTTCGGTTTCCTTCCTTATTCTCAGGTCTTCTCCGTCTCAGTCTTCTGCAACCACCCCGAGCACAGAGCTGTGTTTTTTTTGGGGCAGGTCATGTGACCCGGTTTCCTGTCACAGTTTCTGCACCCCGAACAAGACAGGCAGAAGTCGTAAGCCGAGCGGACGAGCCATCACTTCTCGGCACCTCTGAGAGCCCAGCCAAGCCGGTGGAGATGTTGAGACGGAAGCCCTCCAACTGCTCGGACAAAGAACCCTCGCAGAAAAAGAAGGTAAGGCCAGGCGGCCGCTGAGTGCAAATTTGCAGAGTTTAGATCTAAATGTTGATCTATCTGATTGGTAGAGAGTCACACAATTCATAACTCCGGGCCAATCGGGGTCCTCAGATTGTTGGGTGGTCAGTCAACCGGAATAAAGATAGTCAAGAGAGTCAACAATTTTGCCTAATTTGCGAACCGATTGGCTCAATTGCCATTCACCAACCGTACCGTACAATTCCTCATTATAGGTACAGATATTGATCTCTGGACTTGTATTATTTAAAGTGCATTTTTGGAACATTTGATGCCACTTTCATATTTCCATTTCTTGATGTTTTATGTTTTTATTATAGTGTTTTATATACAGTTTAGTACATTCTCTGTATAGAAGGTGTTCGTGCAAGTATTCATGATCTCTGCTGAGATAGGAAGATAAGCCACGCAGATAATTTCTTGCTTGTCAGTCTGAAAATACTGATTAGCTTGTCTTTGTGGAGAGAAAGAGTAAATCCCAATCGCTGTGCAGCATTAGTAAGCAGAAGGCGGAGTCTGAATATATAATGAGCGTGTATGTCTGCCTCGATGTATGTATATTATTACAAGTATACTTGTACACAAGATATATGAAACATTATTGCAGAGCCATAGGGTTCTTTACATTACACTAGCCATGGTCACATAGGTTAGAGTTTAGGGTTAGGTCTGAGGGTTAAGGTTAGGGTTAGGGTTCACAACCCAAAAAAATAGGTGACCTCTGAGGCCTGAGCCCCAACTCCTGAAGAGTCCAGTGCCAACAAGGAAAGGGGAACCAAAACAGTTATAGAATTAAGACTCAGATTCATGTATGGGCTCATTTGTAATAGCCTCTCAGGTCACCATACTAACAATATACCCCTAAATACCCCGGTATGCCCCAGAATACTTAAGGAACCCTCTGATCCAAGGAAGTCCATTAGGGATGCGCCTATACCATTTTTTCAGTATCGAGTACAAGTACCCCTATTTTTTTGCAGTACTCGCCGATACTGAATACTGATAACGCTGCCGTGTGCCCCGATTATCAGGAAAGGACACCAGTTTCACTTCCCAAGGCTGCCTGGCTTCCTGACCAATCAGGAAGCCAGGCAGCTGGTCATAAGGTGCCGTCTGGCTTCCTGATTGGTTAGGAAGCCAAGCTGCCTACCAGCAAGTGAAGCCGGCTTCCTAGTCAACCAGGAATCCGGGCGGCATGTCATGACCCACCTCCCAGCTTCCTGATTGCCTAGGAAGGCGGGTTCACTTGTTGCTAGTCAGCTTGGCTTCGTGACCAATCAGGAAGCCGGGAGGCAGGTCATGGCATGCCACCCTGCTTCCTGGTTGGTTAGGAAGCCAGGCTGCCTAGCAACAAGTGAAGCCGGCTTCCTAACCAATCAGGAAGTCAGGAGGCGGGTCATAACCTGCTGCCCGGCTTCCTGAATGTAAAGGAAACCGGCTCCATGCTCCCTCGGCACTGGTTCCGGTATCGGAGGTAAATATAGGAGCATTTGGGTGAGTACTCGCCCAAATACTCGGTATCGGCACTGATACCGATACTAGTATCGGTATTTGTGCATCCCTAAAGTCCATAGTTTAACTCTGAACTAGGCCCCTCCCCTACGCCTGGAGTTCAGCTTCAAAGGAGCGCTTTTGTTGGCGGTAGCTTTTTCAGTGCATCCAATGACATCAATCAATGTTAAAGGATAAAACTTTCAACCCCTACCTCTTCTTTCCATAGGCTCTGTATATGTTCACCTGTCTGCATTGTAACTGCAGACCAGCACTGAGAACAAAGAAGCCATCTGATTAATATCTGTAAAACTAAATAAATCAAGGCACCTGGACTTGCTGTGTTTTTCTTGAAGACGTTTTGCTGGTCAAGCGACCAGCTTTCTCAATTCAGAAACTGAATTGCCTGCCACCCCCCCAATGTGACCCAAAGAGATGCCGCCTGAGGCAACAAGCTCCTTAAAGGGACAGCCCTGGTTAGGGGGGCCCTGCTCCAGAGAGCTTACAGTCTAAAAGAATGCAATCCATGGCATGGAAGGAAAGGTTTGCCTTCCTCCAAAATGGCGGCAGGGATACAACTCTTACACTTATCATGCTACAGCCGCGCTTTCTCAAGGTTTATTCATAGCTGTGAGAAACGCGTAAGCCATATTCCGACCCTTTTAACTTGAACTGTATGGGAAAACGCGTAGCTTATCAGCAGCTGGACAGAAAGTCCTTACACTGTACCTGCAATGCGTGACCTGTCTAGACAAAGTCATTTACATTTCAGGCAACTGCAGTGAATTTTTATTCTCTCCATCTCAGTGAGGCGTCGATGCAAATGTCTCTTCCCCGGCCAGATCGGCCGCTCTGCTTAGTCAAACTTTTACACATTTGGTGCCACTTCCTCTCCGCTCGTCAGGTGTGAGCGCGTTTCCTGTCAGAGCGCGGTCTGTGCAGGAAGCAGTGTACGAGGGGGGTGAGAGCATCAGGCTGTATCTGCATGCTGAGGAGCTGAGACTTTGGCATCCTGAGCAGAGGAGGCAGAAACCGCACCGAGAGCGTAAAGGAGAACTCCGCTGTGTCAGAGCAGAGAGCTTCCTCTTCTACATACTGCAAGTGTGACCAAACAGACCCCTGAGTGTTAGATATTTGGCTGTTCATTGGGTACAGGTCTCCATGAACAGACAAAGACAGGGCAGAGCCAGCAGATCCATGTGTCCAGGAGCAAAGGATTATGGGAAGACACATCGGTTGTCGGCTGTGGGAGCTGGGCTTAGATAGCAACGTGACATCATAAGGCCTCCCTCATACTAACCCCTACTATAAGCCTAAAAAAACCTTTCCTGTGACCCCAATTCTAATCCTAACACTAAACCTCCCTATAAACCCAACACTTACCCTAATCCTTCCCTATAACCCTAACACTAACCCTCCCTGGAACTTTAACACTAACCCTCCCTGCAATCCCAGCACTAACACTAACTTTTCCCGTAACCCCAGCACAAACCCTCCCTGTAACCCTAACACTACCTCTCCCAGTAAACCTTAAACTAACCCTCCCTGTTACCCTAATACTAACCCTCCCTGTAACCCCCCGACACTAACCCTCCCTGCAACCCTAACACTACCTCTCCCAGTAAACCTTAAACTAACCCTCCCTGCAACCCCAGCACTAACCCTAACCCTAACTTTTCCCGTAACCCCAGCACAAACCCTCCCTGTAACCCTAACACTACCTCTCCCTGTAACCCCCCGACACTAACCCTCCCTGCAACCCTAACACTAAAGCCCTTCTTAAAGCTGAACCCCAGACAAAGAGCTATTTATCTACACAAGTGACCATCTTATCTGCTATAGCAGCGGTTCTCAACCTGTGGGTCGCGACCCCATCGGGGGTCGAATGACAATTTGCCAGTGGTCGCCTGGTGGCTCCCGGCCGCCCGGGAGAGAAACACTTTATCCCGGAAAGGTTCACTCTGCTCGATCCAACATAGTAAACCTTTCTCTGCTCTGTTTTCTTTCTTCCTGACATTAGGGCCGCAGGCCGCCGTCAGTCAGGAAAAAAAAAAAAAACACCTTAGGAATGCATAGCTAGATTCCTATTGGCTAGTTCACTTTGGAATAGCCAATAGCAAACAAGCTATTGCACCCGCCCTCTGCTGCTGCCAATCAGCAAAGGGGACCTGAAGTTCTCCATCAGGTCCCCTTCTCAACCTGTGGGGTCGCTGTGTGATTTCTGCTGTGCTAGGTGAGAGTCCTCCTCAGCCCTCTCCTAACGCAGCAGTGTCAGTGACACCACTCTCTCTGTTTCAGTTCAGGAAGACAGTGGTGTCACCACCCCTACCCCAGCCTGCTGACATGTCCTACCCCTTGGCCCGGACCTGGGTGTCGCTTATCTTCTTCTTAGTAGACTTGTAGAATCAGAGACAGCCCCTGATTGGCCACACATTGGAGGAGATTTATCAAAACTGGAGCAGACAAAATCTGGAGCAGCGTGTGCATGGCAACCAATCAGCTTCTCTCTTCAGTTTGTTCAGTTCAGATTTGAAAATGAAAGGTGAATGCTGATTGGTTGCCATGCACACGCTGCTCCAGATTATGTCTGCTCCAGTTTTGATAAATCTCCTCCAATGTGTGGCCAATCAGGGGCTGCTCCCCCCCCCCCCCCCCCCCCCTTTTCGCAGTGCGATCGGACGCGTGGCAATCTTGTCTGGATTTCCAGGCTTGTGATATCTTATTTACATACAATGTATTCGTATCTCCCTCTAGTTGTCCTTACAACGTTCCAGCAGCTTCAAGGATTTCGGGAAGTCCAAGCCAAGCTCGCCCAGTTCCTGCACCGAGTTCCACCTGGAAACTGAGGTGAGTGAGAACCGGCGGAACGGTTCCGAACGCGTCTTGTGTGACTCCATATAATGAGTCAGAGAGTTACTATGTACTAATCCTTTCTTATTTCTTTTACATGCCGAGATTTTCATATCATAAGAGAAAGGCTGTGCCATCACGGGGGTCCCTAGGTGTCCCCTTTTAGCTGTCTGAGGCCAGGAGGGGGGTACTGGTGGTGCACGTCACCAGGGGGCGGGGGGGGGGG